TACCATGATTACATGCACTCCCCATTGTAATTCTGATTACATTACATTACACATTCAATGATTTTTATTCCTGGTTCGCTGATCATTTGAATTGCATATAAAGTATTTAAATATCGCTGATTTGAAAATGCAAAAAAAAACCGTCAACAGTAATTGTTCTTGATGAAATATTCAAAATTTATTTTGAAATGTGCAATTGTACGCAACTCCAAATTCGAATACTTTTGAGTATAAATGAAGTGGCACAAGTTATTACATTTATTTTACAAAATGATTATCTGTAAGAAAAGGCAAATAAGTCTCTCATTCTCTCTCTTTTCCGAGATCCATAAAACATAGTTTCGTCTCAAATTTTTTACCACCAAATCGCAAAACACTGTATACGGTTCAATGTGTATATTTTCCATGCTGTGATTCTGCTCACAATGAATTTGTTCTTTTTTCCATCTTTATCTTCTCTCTTTTAATTGGGAATGTCTTGCGTGTTGATTTATTCCCGCTGATATAAACTCCGTTTCAAAATACACACACACACTGCGCTACACATACTATGTGTTTCAAGTTCTTTTTTTTTCGCTATGTATGTGTACCGATAATAATAGTTTACGCACCAAGTGGATTCCATGTACAACACACAACATTTTTCTATTTAGATCACATAAATGAAGATGTAATCAAATAATATGTGTTATTACAAACAAGTGAATGATCACATGCTGAGCTTTCACACATTGCGATTTTCCGTTCTCACCGCTAAGTTCAAAGCATCAGCAACTGAATAGTAGCATCAATGGTAGCTCGAGAGAGAGAGAGAGAGAGAGAGAGAGATAAAGAGGGAGAGAGAGAGAGATAGAGAGGGAGAGAGAGAGGAAGCACCGCACACATCTTAATAGTTTGATAGATGGATGGTTAATTGTCTGTTATCACGAATATCGATTCATTTCACTCGCATTACTCTCTCTCATTTGATTGTAAACTGCGTGTGTATGCGATTTAGCATCCGCTCTCACTTGGAATAGGTGAAATACGAATAAAATTAGCGATACGCTGTGTATTTTATCAACATTCGAATAAATTTGAATTTATAAAGAGTCTGAAAACTTAACTTTTGCCAATTTTAAGATATTCTTTGGAGTTTGTTCGCAATATATTTTGCTACCATTGTGAGTAAGAATAATGTATTCTTGACTTTACAACAGTTGTTTTTTTCTTCCGAAAAAAAAAATGGTGGAATCGCCGCAAAATGTATGATTTTAGAACGAAAAACTAAAACAAATTGTTCTTTCATCTTCAGAATTCAATTTTTTTCGTTTGCCCATTGAAAGTCTCATTCAATTTGTTTCATTTGATTTCCATATAGTTTTCTGATCGCTCTATGTGCGAGAGGAGAAAAAAGGTGAAAAATAATACCATAAAATTATCCGTATCGATTTGTTTGCAACGTTGCAATTGAGCAGCAAAATTATATGGCTGCGATTCAAACCGAGGAGGGGTTAATACAAGGAATATAATATCCGTTTGTATTCGATTCTTGGACTTTGAGTTCAAAAACAGAAGCACACAAAAATTTGCAACAGCAAATTGGCATCGAGTGTTTTGGTTATATATAAATATATATATTTTTTCTTCTCTTCTTTTGATTTGGTTTGGTTTCATATGCGTTCGAATTCGAATATGCCAATTGAAAAGAAATTAGTTCAGTTGAACATGGACATTGTGAATATGTAGCTGGCTGGCCGTCGGCTGATATATATGTATGATGAAAAACACAAAAAAAATACAAAGCGTGTACGAGGTCGAGAGTCGACCGGTTTCAGTCTGATCGAATCTACTTGGCACGAATAAACGATATATATACACACACATTGGTGTATTACAAATGGATGTGTATAGTAGCCAATTTTCATCAGCCAACTCATCATATCTTTTGTAATCTCTGAAATTGTTTACAAGTATTTCATGGCGCGATTGTTTCGCACCAAATAACCATATTCAGACCAGGCGGATGGTGTGGTGGTAGCGATGACGATATGGCTGTTAGTTATTGTAGTTCGAACAAGCGGGATTCTTATGCGAGCTCATTGTTCTTTGGTAAGCATTAACTAATTATTGTTATTGCTGCCAAATGTTCGTGACTTTCTGTTTTTCAATCCGATATAATTTTCTATCAATTATTTTTGATTTATCTATCTGCTAAAATATTATGCCAACACATATGCCAGCCATATGGGTGTGTAAAGGAGGTCTGAAAAAAATTGGGTCAATCCTAATATTATGCTTTCAAAAATGTATGTTTGTGTGTATGTGAATTATTTGAACAATACAAGAAACATTTCTAAATTTTGGGACGCGCATCTGGCAAATTTCTTGGAATGTTGGCCAATTTTCGAATTAAATTTCATCATAAAATGAAAGAAAATTGATATTTTTTCTATCGACGAGCTCAATGGATCCTTGTCACATAAAACATGAGCTCAAATTGTTTTCGAATTGTTGCATATTTATTACGAACGAAACGGTTGATTCTCAAACAACACACGTATACACTCACCAATACGTAGCAATGAGACATAAGTTAATAAATATTAAGAACATTCTTGAATGCAGTTATACCGCATATGACACATAAAATAGAGAAGAAGAAGAATAAAAAAAAGATCGACTAGAACGTGAATTTCAACAACCAACAGCAAACATTCCCGAATAAGAAGAAGAATAAGGAAAAAACCGATGCAAGAATTGCGATATGAAGAGCGCGCAGTTTGTGTGTACATTGGCATTGACCATTGATAGAGTACTGGAGTATGTGTATGCATGCAACGCAAATAAAGAGGTCACTTTTGAATAATTATACGAAGATGTTCCCATTTGAAGTGATTTTTGTATTGTTTCTTGGTCATTTCTCTTTCTCTCTCCATATCTCTCTTTTCGAATATGACATGATTTATGTGATTCCATCAACTTGTTGTTTTCATGGTGAATTTGTGTTGCACACTTTTTATTACTTAGTTTTTTTTTATTTTTGTACACGATAAATGTGATAGGTGACGCTCATATGCACCCAAAAGCATAAGCGCCGATAACTGAACACACACTTAGAGCAAGAGAAATAAAATCGGACAGTAAAATATTTCATTTCAACTCAATAGAATAATTATTAATTATTATTCGATGTGTTCCGGCTTTCGCATGGAACTGATGTTATAATTCTGAAAAATAAAAAAACACACATATTTCAGTTTGTGAACGACTAATATATGTTACACTCAACGAATATTCACGTAATTTTCAGCATTTTCCTCGCGATGGTGAATTTCATTCATTTCGCTGTATATATGTCTGTGTAAAATGTGAATCAAATCGGTAGCCGCTCGAATAAAATCAACTAAAACAGCGAGCAATATTGAAAAACATAGCATATATGACTATCAGAAAGGAATAGAGAATATATTATATGCTTCACGCATTCTTATGCAAGCATAAGAAGTATTGCCATAGTATGTTGTTTAACGCTTCGATACACATCGGAAATGAAATGTCAGTAAAAAAAAAAACAAAAGAAATATCTAAAACCGATTATTGTTATTACCATAGACATTTTTCATAAACAAAATGAACAACAACAACAATAAGAAAGCAACACAACAATTTCATTCTTTTAAATCGAATGTACGGTGTTCAACAGTTGATTGGCCGGTCGAAAAAAAACGAGTCAAGTATTTTGATTTGATTGTTGTCAGGACGTAATAAAAAAGCAAAGATGTTGAGCATGTCAATCCAATTGAAATTGTGTGTGTTGTACACATAAGTATTGATGAAAATCGGTCGGCGTCGTAATGAAAAGCGAAAACATCACTATTGATATGTCTTGGCGTATTGTCATTGGCGGTCAGGGAAATATGCAATTGATGAAATTTTTTTATTTCTACAATCACACGCACACATCCGTTTGTGTTCTTGGAAATCTCCATTGATCATTGCATATAAGAATTGTTGAATGCGGTATGTGCAATTTCCAATGGAATGCTTAACCAATGTGAAGCAAGCACAATGCGAAATTGAGAGTCGAGTTTTTCTTTCAAATGAACAAAAAGCAAAGAATTTATTGTATCTTTTGAACATTCTTCGGGTAATTTTCATTCAAACGAATAAGATTGCACATTCACATCATACCTTGAATCGTGATCAATTTGCACTAAAAGAAAAGAAAATCAATGCATGCGCACCTATGAAATACACTTGTACATTGTGTGTTGCGTGTCGGGTCCACTTTGCCTCCCCGACAGTTTCAGTTTTACTCGAACTCAATCGAACGCAATGTTTTTGGTCCGAATCAGAGAAGAAAAAAAAATGTGCGCAATGCTAATTGTTTTGTAAACAAGCGTGATGATTGGTGTTGGGATTTGAAACAAATAGTCGTATTCAAATTGTTATGAATTACGCACATTATTTCATCGCTTGCGGTTGTGTGCATGTTCATGCGGTTATTCATTAATCATATATGTGATGAGTGTCTTTGCTGTAACACCCGTCAAAATCAAATTGAAGGAACCAACACATTTATTTTCACTGACTGTGCATGACTATGAGACGTCTATTGTTTCATTTTTTCTATTGTATGGGAAGAGGGATGCATCACATTTCTCCGAGTACGCTTTCATATTCCAAAAGAACGAATTATGATTTGGTCTTTTCAATACACAATAAAGCACAATGGAAATTATATTAAAACTCAAACCGATCTGAATTGCCACACGAACGGTCAACCAATCTAAAAAAAATTTCATATAAATGCAAGACAATAATAATATAAGACCAGACAACTGGTGAACATCATTGATTTTAACAAAGAATTTGAACAAACCGATGCACATCATTTTCCAAGATTATCTCAAACATATTTTAGTTGATTCGAATTTACATTTATTTTATTCACTTACATACCAACATCTTTTTCACATTTCTCTCACTCACCATCGCCAAACCAATTTATATTTTAGATAAGTATATTATGTAATTGGCGACCGTCATCAACCATACCAAGTGCCTGGAAATCGCGAAAAATCATCTGGACGAAGAGTCACCGAGAACGGAAAATCAATATTGTACCATCGAAAGAAAACATAAACTGAAAGAGAATTAACTACGACATTCTTCTGATTTTCATCATACTGAGGAGAATATCAGGACAGTGCAACATCAACGACCAATCGTAAAGTGAACAAATCGGGAAAACATACGAGATCGAACGACATATCGAATCAAACATTTCGATCGTAAAGTGAATTGATCGGTTTGTTTTTTTTTTGTTTTCTGCTGTGTGTCTGTACATATTATTGAGTTTTGTGCTACGATTTGTATGCGTTTTTATGTATGTTTGTCATTGAACTCGCCAATAGTTATTTTTGTGTGCAAAAAGATACATTTAAGCAACCATCTTGCATAATAATAGAATAGTTGTAATTTTTAAACTGCATTTCAAGCATACAAACATACGCACACAAAAGTTCGACCTGAACTCAACGTATCGAATGCAATCTCTTCGAAGCAGTCAAATTAAAATCCGATACTAATAAAAATAAGCTAATTGAGCGAAAATAACAAGCGCGCACAAAACAACAACAAATTTAAAAAAAAAGAAAAAAAGAGACAACATTCATACACCGCTAACAAAATACCATAATCGGGTGAACAGAATAAAAGACAATTGGACACGAAAAAAAGAAAAATACAAAATACCGAACAAACTAAAAACAAATAGTAAAACAAAGTAACGACACAAAGCGAAAATACCATCTCAATATCGGTGGACGACGACGAAGACAGTACACCAACCATACTTAACTGTGCGGCAGCGTTAGATCAGTTTGACGAGGCGGTCGGTGATCGTGAAAGCGAAAATGGAATTTCACTGGAAGTATTTACTGGTAAGTATTCTATTATTATAGAGGTAAATTATGTTGGTACAATCTTTTTGCAATTCATCATGTTTTGCCATGATTGTGTTGTTGTTGTTACCGTTTTATTTATTTGTCGTTGTTGGTATTTTTTTAACATATGTTCGGTTTGTTTGTTATACACATTGTTTTTGCTGAAGCACTCGGCCAATTTCTATAACAACAAACTAACAAACCAAAGCAGACAAGGAAGCACGTCAATAATTGTATCAATCAACTGTTGTTATTCTATGGTCCGTGTATAGATTAGATTAAGCCGGTTCAGAGTTTAACGATGTTGATATTTATAGTATGCACAGTGCACACACACACACACATTAATATGTAGCTAGACATATAGATACAGCAAACAATCATTGCGCGCCGGTGTACAAAACTATTGGTGAAGGGCGTAACGGTTAATTACGATGAAAACCGTATGAAACGCACAATATATACAGTATATATACACCGTGGTACGTTAACGTTAAAAAAAGGTCTTGAACTTAAGTTATCAAACCAATTTTCATCAACCAACCGAATTAATTTGTATTCACATAAATCATATCATCACATCGTTTTCATCCGTCATCTTCGAGATAATCAGTTTTACAAGCAAAGTATACACCTCTTTATTATTCTCTATTTCCTTTTCAATCAGCAATTAGATGCAGTTTGACGAACCATTTATCTCAAGCATTTTTCATGATTCACAACACACACCACTGTCGCATTGATCATGTTTTATTTCATTATTTTTAATAACGACAAAATTAATAATGAATTATTATTTAGAATTATATCGAAGCAACGATGAACTCGATCACGGGACTCTCTCGTTAGATCATCAATGTACAGTTAGATTGATTTGACCAAACAAATGTAATCGATTGCATAATTCAACTCGATCATGAACAAGAGATTGAACTGATTTTAAATAAAAATAAAAATAAAGCTTGGCAACAAACCAAAACTAATTGAAACTACTTATGGAGACGATAAATAATTTTGTGTACTAGATCATTTGAAATGTGTACTTTTTCGAGCTTTCAAACTTTTTTCGGAACCTTTAACACAATTTGTTCACATTATGAATGTGGTTCACGTTGTTAAAATTCAAAACGAGTGAAATATGTTCATTTTATCACGAGTTTTCGATGAGAAGCATTAAATAATTGTGTTCAATTATTTTCGTTGAAAGTAGCATCACCACTTACAAACAATTCGTAAATAATTCTCTTTAAATTTAGTTCAAACCTCATGTTGCCGGCCTAGCAGCTATCTTTTAAGGTTGACGGTTTAAAAACAAATGATCAAAAATGGAGCAAATGTAAATAGTGTGTTTAAAACCAGCGGTGTCTTGCCTTTCAAAAAGGGATAATAAACAATAAAGCTTAATCACACATTGGTGGTGTTCGTTTTGTATCAATTTGTGTGTGTGTGTGTGTATGTTTAATTACGGTGCAAATCGAACGGTTTCACACATATACACGTGCAAAATGTCGTGTGTAGAATTGACCGATTATTTTTCATTTCGATTCTCATTTCGGAAATGCGATGAATTTGCCAAAGAAAGTTGTACATTTGTTGAAAACACCGTTAGTTGTTGCCTCTTATGTCAATATTCGGTCGGTGTGTACATATTTAAATCAGATTATTTCTCAAAAAAATCACGGGCGCTAGTAAAATAAACACGTTAGCGAGAGAGAAACGAATGGAATAAGACAAGACACAAAATACAAGCACCAAATCGAAATCGAATTTGTAATAATAAAATGAAAACAGTTCAAAATGTAACGACACAAAAGACGGTATTAAAAAACAATGGGAAAGTCTTTTTTGTTGTTTGTGGTTGTTGTTGTTGTATCAGTTTATATCCATTAAGAATAAAGAATTGGATTAAACGGTGTAGTATGTGCTAGGGGCAGAGCAGTACTAGAATAATCATTTTTGTTTAAAGTAATTCTATGTTGTGAGTAGTAATCGATATTAATCCATAGTAATACACACTTATGTAAATTCTAACAGCAGTGCAATGACGTTTCATGTGTACGTTGTGTATGACATTTGCTAGACATAAAGCGATCGCAGTATATTTCGGATGAGACATTTTATTGTTAAAAAATGGAAAATATCGAATTTAATTTAATAAATATCGAATAAATTGTTTCAATCCGCAATATACGACGATCGATTTATTCCTAACAAATGTAATACACAACATACACATGAAACGTCATTGCACTGCTGTTAGAATTTACACAAGTGTGTATTACTGCGGATTAATATGGATTACTACTCACAACATAGAATTACTTTAAACGAAAATTATTATTCTAGTACTGCTCTGCCCCTAGAGTATGTGTGTAATGCGCGCGACCGGTTCGAATGTGAGTGCATTGAAAACATTTCAATTCGGAACTAGCGTGTGCCCCGCTTTTTTCCGTTCGTTCATTTAATTTCCATTTATTCTTTTATATCAATTTATGTTATCACTCTTTTTTTTGTTGGTTCTCTCTTCCTCTCGCTCTCTCATTCGGACCATGGCGGTTTCCAACTAGGTTTGCGTGCACTCGAGTCATGTTCAATTTTCATCGATAAAGTCTTGATTCTTTTTTTTTTTGTGTTTAGCGAATAACCAATTCATGAGCCAGTCAGATTGACAAAACAAAGAAATCATGTCACAGTCGTAGAAGCACACAAAACACAGAGTTACTGAAAATGGAAGAGAGAATTAGAACTAAAGAAAAATAGATGTCGGTTGGTTTGGCCGGGGCAGCGGTGCAAAAGCACATATGCACAATGTGCTCAATTCAAATTAGCCTTGTTCTTGTTAGTCACAGACCCAATTTTTGTATTGTATTCCCAAATCGCGATTATTCGTTTCGAGGCAAGGCTTTTTGGCCAGCCATTTCGTGCCTTTTTATTTACTCTCTCTCTTACTAGTAGTTTTAGTACCGTTATCTTCCTCCCATTTCTAATTTTAAATATATGAACTAGCATTTAAGCGTATCACACGGAGAAAGATGAAGAGAAAGAGAAAGAGAGAGAGAGAGAAGACTGAAGAAAGATATAAAGGGAAAATAAAAAGCACTTAGTATCTCGTTAAACGCCAAATGGCAATTTTGTTTCCGCTGCATTTTATGAAATACAAAAAACAACCACATGATACTTTTACCCAATAAAAGCGATTAGTCTTACATTAAACGATCATTAACGGCGTAATTGATTTTATTTCGTGAATATAGTTGCGAGGTATTTGACTGTTACCTTCTCTATATTTTCTTTTTTCTTTTCTTAACTAGCTGAAGGTATGTAGTACGCATTTTCAAGGAGTGAGCTAAGTGTGTACCAATACGTTTTTATAAAGCGGTAATAAATAATGGCCGAAAGGCTTTTCAATTTAGGATAAAATCATGGGAAAAATGAAACCGAAAACATTAATTACAAATCGGGTATTGAGTTATCGATTAGAAAAATCTAATTTCACTGAATTTCACTGGAAGGCATAGAAAAGGTTAAAACATTACAATTGCATCGTTCACTTCTGTTCTATTCGATTTGGTTTCGAGGAAGAAGAAGACGAACCGGATACCGAAGCACGGGCACACGATGGAAAAAACTAAAACGAAAATTCGCACATTGATCCTATCGGTCAATGCGATAGACGTTGCGTTCAATTGAGAATGTACATGTCGAATTGGAAAAACATGTTCCATATTCTCGGTTAAGGCAAGAAATAAAGAAAGGAGAAGGAGAGAAAAAAACTAACATAACATTACCGTCGATAAGATCGGAGGAAAAAAGAAATGCTAAAGTCGGCAATTAATTTTCACATAGAATTCATGTAGTCAACACACACACACATATATATACAAAAGAACAATTGTAAATCGAATGCATAAGCGCGCGCGTGATATCGAAATAGAAAATTTATTCATCAAATCCGAAAGTAGAGTTTCTTTTAATCCAAATAATTTGATAACGATCAGCACACTATTTTGTTTGTTTTATTTTTTTCTTCTCCATTTGCACGGTTGTTTGATGAGCGATCTACTTGATTCCTTTTCTCAAATTGCAGTCCTCTTGCGGTTCAAGAAAACATTGCCCACATCGCTGAGTCGGATGCAATCGAGCGAAATCGAGTCGAATGCAAACACAATACGTTGTTCGAATTGAAATCGAAACGAAATTATGCGAATGATGATGGTAAGAAAGTATATAAAAGTTCTAATGTCGACCTGATTCATCTGCATACATTTCAATTATATGGCATTTAAAAAAAAAAACAGTGCACTCTGCAGTGGCAACCGCAACCACGCGCGCGCAAAAGTGAATAAAAACAGCAAATAAAAAAGAAAAGAAATGACCGACCGACACACGGTGGAAACAAGAGAGATGCAAGTGAGAAAAGAAAAAGTTCCACTGATTCAACTAGCTGATTTTCGATTCGGCCAAATGTCAAATGAATGCTCGAAAATAGTGAAAAATTAAAGAAAAAAGAGCATCCGTCCTCTTAAAATCGTGATCGACTTAACATAGAAATTAACATGAAATATGTAATCGATATGCCCGTGAATTCGATCGAGAGAGTGAGATCGGCGCACTGATGTGCATACCAAGAGCAAAACGAAAAGAAAAAGACGAAATTGCTATCTAAGCAAAGAGAGCGATGGTTTTTTCTTCTTTTTGTTTTGCTTCTTTGGTGGTGTGTAAAATACACCTACCAGAGCCCAGCAGCGGTTTATTGAATAAAATGATTGAGCCCATTTTTTTTTTATTAATCCTCATTCCATAGGCAAGCTCAAAGAATGAAATTGAAATACCAAATGCGCGATGACTTTGGAATTCTTCGAGCATCGGCTGTGATAGTAGTTGTTGCCGCTGATCTTTTTCGAGTTACTGATCACATTGCTTTCATGTTACACTTTTGGCTTGTTACGCTCATAATTTCATAGATGCTGCCGTTTGGCTTCGTTTTCTTTTTCTCATCTGAATGATTAAATTTCATTTAGACTTTTAGTTTAGATGGACACTTTGATTTCCCTCTCTGTCTTTCTTTCTCTTTGATTCGTTCAGTTTATTTCGATCCATCATTTGATGCGCGCCGGTTGGAATAGATTCCTATTTGGAAATCAGCTAACTGAATCGTTCCTAGGCTATACGAGTGTTTGTGCGCTCGCGCGCGTACGCGCTCAAAGAAACAAAATGGAAAGTTGTTATTTGTTTTTCTCTCACACTCTTTTGTCTTGTTTATATTAGATATATCCGCATTGTTTAACAATTAACGACACACAACTAACTCTCAAGCATATGCGCTTACAAATTGGAATGCGAACATCAAATAATCATAATTTTTGCTTCTTCTTCATTTGAAAAACCAGAGAAAAAAAACCACAAAACTCTCTGTTGGACAATTATTTGTTGATAGTTGTCAAACAAATAAATTACGTTAAAATAAGCCGAAAGGTTAAAAATAAATGATCTGAGCCCATTTGTTTTAAATCATTCTTTCGTTTTTTCCCCATCAAAAACAACAACAACGATGACGGTGTTGAACTAAATACATCAAACGACGGAATCTGCTCTCTCGTTGCCAGTAGAAATTGAAATTGCTTGCATTTCATAAATACACACATCAAAAATAGAAGACACGCACACAAACTTGCGACCACTCGAAATAATTTTGATAGGTATTTTGTTATTTGCGGTGAAAATGTTCTAATTTCAAATCAACGTGTGTGAAACAAACAACTAGATGCGTTACTTACACTATCAATTCGGTGCATTTGGTGCATACAACATGTCATGGTGCAAAAATTGTGCGCTTGACCCATATTGAAGTCACACTCGTGCGCTTACTTGAACACACACACGGCGTGCTACTCGAAATATAAACTCAGCGCCACATATTATACATAAATTTGTTGTTATTATTATTATTTTCATTCTTTATCACTATTTTCTCTTGACATAGTATGGATATTGGCCTTCATATCTGGTACACAAATAAGTAGGCTTGAGATTTTTTTTCTTCTTTCTTTCATTTTAATTTTTAAATAAATATTTCGTCGTTATGCGTTTGTAGTTCAACTTCAACATATTCACATACATACACAATGGTCATTTTGGTCATTTACAATTGCAAATGCTTATGTGCGCGCGCACACACACAAAAAGAAATAGTCATTCAACCAGTATTAAATGACATGAGAAGAGGAATAAAATGCGTTTTAAGTGTGTGAAAAATACACTTAATCGAAATTGTTGCATGTGCTTCTTTTGAATTTAGCTTACCTTTTCAACCGTGCTATGAGATATGTAAAGATGTCCGCATCGAAGAAGCTTTGCCGAGTAGCTCACAGTTGAAGTTTGTGATGCTTACGAAAACCAGATATTCCGATATTCTTAATAATGATGATGATTGAATCTATATGTTCTTGAATATTTGCCGTATCTAATGCGTTTCATCTTTGAAAGAAAATGGTCTCACTCACGGATAGTTCATGTGCAGTTGCAATACAGTCGCTGTGCAGTTGCAATACAGTCGCTGTGCAGTTGCAATACAGTTTTGCCAGTGCAAAACAACTCGATCTTTACAATAAATCACATCAAATGCACTCGTTAAACGTAGATACGATGCAAATATTATTCATAAAATCAAGTATTAAAAAAGTGCATCGCAACATCTTTATATGAATTAAAAAAGAGGCAAAGAAGTAACCACAAAAATTAAAGCAAATTGGAATGTGGAATGAAATAAAAGAGAGAGAGAGAGAGAGAGAGAGAGACAAAAAAAACTAAATTAAAATGGATTGACGAATGCCCGCCAATTTTGCCTATTTTATTTGTGGTTTATCACCACGGGGTCTATATGTAAAATATGCTCGAACTCGTCAAAATAAAACATAAAACAGCAAGAAATTGACCACGGAAAATACTTAAAAAAGCGTGTACATGAGTGCACATGAAAAGAGTTGTTATGAAATTGTGAACAAACATAGAATTGCCATTACCATAGGCTATTTTACATAAGTTGCACATGTGCATTCGATGTGCCGCTTCTGAGTGTATCCAATCGTATCTTTCTCTCTATCACTCCGTTTTTTTCGCGCAGTTTTCATCTCGGCCAATTTTTTGAAGGCCATTCGATTTGTATAAATACAATCGCGCACTGATCTCAAAACATCGGCATCAAAATTCTGAACATGTTTTTGTCCAGTTCAAAGTCAACGCTTAGCAAACGGTTTGGCATACAACATCAACTTCAATTCATTGCAATAAATAATCATAGAAAAATGAAATTGTTTACACATTGCGGACAATTGCACACCGACAACCGATCATACGGGCCAGTGTTCCCGAATCCAACGTAGAAATTGTTACGCGAAAGATGAACAAAATAGTAAAGACAATCGTGTGAGGAATGTAGAATGGAGAAATTGTCCAAGCAACCTAGAAAAGAATTTCAAAGTAAAAAACAAAACACACGATGAGATTAGATTGAGAATGGAATATAAAAAAAACGAATGAACATCAACAATCGTTGTCATTTGCATCTAATGCTCATCATTTAAGCTCTTTAACTCTGTGCTGAACGAACAGAAACTTGTTGTAGAGATACGAAGAACCTTGTATATCAACGTCATTTAGATAAACAATTCACCGTCGAGAGAGAATTAAATGAAATTAAAATATGTTATTGTTTAATAGCTTTCCCGGTGGGTTTTCTGATCGTTGTTGTCGGTCTTCAAAATGGACTTTTCCTCCATGTAATTCATATGATATATTGGATTTTTCTTTTTATTATTCGTCGTGTTTTTTTTCTCTCTCTTTTATTCATTTTGCTTTTATTTCGTAGACATAAACTACTGACGTTAATAGCTATTTCAAACGATGTATGAAATGACATTTTAAATGCTTATTTACGTCAAATTTATTCATAATCCAACACGATCATACGGTTTTTTTTGTTGTTCATGGTGAAGAATACTTTTTTGTTGTTATTCTTCCATAGTGCTGATGCACACACCATGCCGATGGGCAATTTATGTGAATGCAGCATGCGCACTTGTGATATGATTAAAGGTTCCACATTTCAATCTCTTTAAAAAATCAGATCCCTTTAGATTTGTGCACCACATGCGCTGTAAAATCATTCGAAAGTACCGACCATGTGGCCTTTACTTATGCAGTTCTTTATTTGTTGTTGTTGTTTTTAATTGAATTTTTTTTACTCATCCAAGATCTAATGATTAAGCCCTTGTCTGCTCTTTAGTTAATGCTTAGACGATAGAATTCATGCGAGACGCAAAATTGAATAATCACATATGATGAGAATTCGAAATTGAATTTTGAACTTCATGGTAAAGATGATTTGAAAATACATATAGAGTCACAGAGAGAGAGCTCAAATTCAAAATGCGTTTGAAATAAATCGAATTCCAAAGCAATGATGAATTGTTTATTTAATATATGTAGAAAATGGTTTTCGGTCATACGACCTGTCAAATATTTGAGTAATATAAAAACAAATTTAAATAATAAAATTGATTCGTAACGTCAAAAATCCATTTAAAAAAAATGTTTCGATTTGATTTTGTGTATTTTTCTTTTTAGATAATGGCATCACTGGCATCACTGTCAATGTGTCAAACAACGGTAGTTGAATTGGGAGCACGATGTGGACACGATATGGATTGTACGGACACAATTAAATATAGCCAATGTTCAATGGCCGGATTTTGTGAGTGCAAACCATTCTATGCTCAATTTAATGACAGCAGTTGCGTTCAAGGTATGTATTTGCCATTGTCAGTTCATTATTTCAATTAGAAAAGTGCTTAGGAAAAATGGGAAAAGAAATTGGTATGATAAAAAAAAAGAGTTACGAACTAAATGTGATCGTGCTAATTAAATTAACCATAGCATCACAAGAACCTTTTTAAAACGATGCAGTCGGCAAAAAGTACCTTTTTTTCTTCTTACATTCGATCAATCTTAATTTTGTGCATATTTCTATCCGTTGAGAATTTCAAATAACAACGTTAAAAAAAGCACATGCCGAAAATGTCTCTGGGCTTTTTTTCATTCAATCCGCATAATAGATGAACGTCTGTTCAACGCTAATTTTCTACATATATTTTATGTAAACGTTTCCAATATATTTCAAAATACTTTTTATTTGTTTTGTCATTAGTTGTCCTGATTGAAAACAGCTTTTAGTTGACCAAAAGAGAAAGAGGTGTGTAAATAAACACCACAGCCGCGCAATCTTTTTTTTAAATATGCATTCTATCGGTCGGAGAAGAATATTGGAATGAAAAATTAAAGAAAATATAAATATTTACCTTGACTTTGACTCCATTGTGACTGTACGTACGTCCGAATTGTGATTCGAAGTATTTCTCTCTTTTCGTCTTATTAAATGGAAAGAATACAAGGGATATTTTTCATAATTCCATTGAAATCGGCACTAGGTGTGAAATACACATCGTGCACATTGTTCGGCATCACTGCACTTCATCGACGAAACGAGAGAGAGAGAGAGAAAAAGCAACCTCAGAATGCGTTCAAGTATTGATGAAATATAAGTTCTAATGTGCATTCGTCGGCAATGGCAAGATCAGAACAGCAAGATGACGACGATATAGATGACGGCGAAAAAAATTGGATTTGCATGGCAAGAACCATGATGTCGGTGTAAGAAACCAGATAAAGCCGTAACAGAAAACGCTATTTCAAAACACTTATTAAGCCATTCATTATTGGCTGTACATGTGTTTGAAGACGCCGTATTTCATAAATGTTTTAAAATATCTAGCAACATTAAGTTAGCGAACAAACTGAACTTAAACAACAACAACAAAAAAAAAAGAGGAAAAAAACCAATCTCGAACAAAATGTAATAACCACAAGGCATTTTAAAATGCATTGCATTCTCTTTTTTTTTTGTTCGTCAACATAGTCATTGCTGCCACTCATCTCCGTAAACAAAATATAAAAAGATAATAACGAAAAGAAAAACTAGATTCTAATCGAAGAATAACGTTGTAATTTGTTAGATCGCACGAAGGAACATGCCGTGCACCCGTTTATTTCTAATATGAAAAACGACAATTTCCCATTCGGATTTTTCATTAACATTATTAGCACAGTCGTTGGAAGTTGTCAATGATGTCTTCTTCATTGTCATCGTTCATTGTATTGAACTACAAATTCTGTCAACATTTTTTTTTCGATTAGCGTGATTGTTTGTAATTCGTCGCACGCAATATTGCGGATAACGTGTATTGGTTTTTTACCTAAACATTTTATTTGGATCAATTTGGCAATTCTTTTCGATGCGCTCACGCTCTCTGTCTCAATTTCGTTCGAACGAAACGGTGATTCTTTGCTGTGCTGTCGTGGGAAATTTTCAAGAATTTCATGTCCATACACAAACACATTCACCCATTGAATGAAGAAAAAAAAACATATTTTTCCCAATGTATTTAAATTGATTTGTTATTTTTATTTCAAAGAAAAGCGTTTCCAATATTAAGTACTACTAAATTGTATGTGTGGTTGTTTTGTGCGTTTGTTTTTGTTTCGTTTTTTTATTTTTCTCTTTCAACATTTTGCAGCTCAACTTCTTGGTAACGAGTGTGTGCTGAACGAGCAGTGTTCCATGAAAGTGGCCAATAGTGCTTGTATCGATGGCATGTGTATGTGCTTGGATGGTTTCCTACCGTTTCGAAAACACACTTGCTTGTCACGTAAGTAATCAACATTTGAATTTTACCACTTTTTCTTTTCGTTTTCAAACCTTATTACTATTTATTTCTCTCATACTTCATTACGGATCGATCATCGGTTATTTTTCACACCCATTTGCGACGTTTTTATGAAGAAGGAGAAGAAAGAAAAAAATTGTCATTCTTTTTGTTTGTTTATTTATTTGTCGATTTGAGAGTAATGACGGCTACAACGGCTAAAACATTTGTTGTGGCAAATTCATCCATTATCGGACATATGTTGACGGTCAATATTGAGGTCGGATTTGAGTGTAGTTTTAGTCATTTTCAACGTCGCAATGGACTCAGTTAGTAAAAAATAAACTCAGTTAGTAATTGAAACTCAGTTAGTAAGTATGAATCAACATCAATATACTATCGGTTCAGTTCAATAAATGATACTCACCTACGGGTTATCACAGCGGACGGCAGTACGCGCGAGTGACGAAACCACATTAGTGTGTTGAAAAGTCGACTTGTTATATATTCACGTAATTTCCAAATTCTAACCTGGAAGGCCTTTAGCCGCGATTGGTGTATGGTTGGGAAGCCCTTGGGTCATAGATCAAGAAAAAATATCAAAGTTTGAAAATCGGCCCACCTCTCTTCAAAATATGGTCCTTTCAAGAAAAGGGTCAAAATTCAGTTCTATGGCCATAGATGGCACTAAATGAGGTCAAATTTATACCTGAAACATTGGTATTCTGATTCTAGAGCTCAACGATACCTCCAACGTCGAAATCGATCAATCCGTTCGAAAAAAATATCATTTCAAAAATTTCATATGATTTTCCTATAAAAGTCATTTGGTATGTGTGTGCGCAATTTTGTATGCAATAACGGCCATTTTTTCAAACAATATTTGTGGCACCTATACTTGACACACTCAGGGCATATGCATATTCGTTGGAAAGGTCATAAAGTAAGCTATCGAATGGTGCCAATTACGACTTAAAAATTTCAAGTTCAGGTGGCCAAATCGGTCAAAAATCAAAATTTGACCGTCTGGCCGGGGCACATAACGGATATTTTCTCGAAAAAGACTCCTTAGTTTCTTTTGAGAATCTCATCGATTTATGCCCCAAGTCAAAGATAAAAAACAGTGTATACCACACACGACTGAAAATTGATGGCCGTCCCCATTATGAGCCATAATTTATGACATTTGGAGCCAAAAAAACGGAAGGTTGCATTGCGTCATCAGTCCATACTGACAGTAAAAAGAGAGGAATTTCTGCAATGTTTTGAATGTTCAAATGTATATTAAGTTTTTATTCACAGTACACAGAAAAATAATCTATCATTTGTTTTCGTCACAAAATTGATATCAGAAATTTTGTGTTTCATATTTTGGTTTCGTCACTCGCTTCAGAGGTTTTTTATTTGATTTTATATACCAAACTGCCCGTACTTCGTACGAGGGCGTTCAAGAGGGCCGAAAGAATAACGATGGGTCCGATGCGCGATTTCTACATACATTTTTTTGGGAAAATAACATTACAGGTGTTCTCCTGGGATCCTCCCACATAGGTTATGGGGGTGTACATACTTGAATTCAACATAATTTTAAAAAAACACTGCACCCTATTATGCATATAATCTCCGTTCTATTTGACACGAAAATGACCACCAGAATGGGCCAAAACGTTACATTTTTCAACGTTAGAATGTAATAGACCAAGAGCCACTCTAACAAGTAACTTTTTTTTTTGCTTTATGTCAGAAAACTATATTGAACCATGCAGCTAGACATACACTTAACAAATAATTTTACGTCTGTCATTACAGCCACCCACTTCGCGAAATCTGCACTATTATTCGCGGATAGAAAACACATCAATTAATAAAGCGAGCTGCATGTTTGATTTTCTGGAATATATTTTTTCTTTGCTCAAAGATTCTTCGATTAAAATTTCTGCATGAATTTCCGCATTGTTTACAAAATCTGCATGAATGAATTATGTAAAAAAAACTATCAACTTTTTTGTCAGCTTTATGTCTGAAATTCTAAACATCGATTTTTTATCATAAAATAACACTAAATTATAAAAATCTGCACTTAAATACACATATTTATTGTTTTCTGCATAAACAAAATTACATGTTTGTATATATTGAAAACACTCAATATGACACATTGAACGCACTCATTTGAGCTGTCAGGCAACATTTCCATATATACAAACATGTAATTTTGTTCATGCAGAAAACAATAAATATGTGTATTTAAGTGCAGATTTTTATAATTTAGTGTTATTTTATGATAAAAAATCAATGTTTAAAATTTCAGACATAAAGCTGACAAAAAAGTTGATAGTTTTTTTTTACATAATTCATTCATGCAGATTTTGTAAACAATGCGGAATTTCATGCAGAAATTTTAATCGAAGAATCTTTGAGCAAAAACAAAATGTATTCCAGAAAATCAAACATGCAGCTCGTTTTATTAATTGATGTGTTTTCTATCCGCGAATAATAGTGCAGATTTCGCGAAGTGGGTGACTGTAATGACAGACGTAAAATTATTTGTTTAGTGTATGTCTAGCTGCATGGTTCAATATAGTTTTCTGACATAAAGCAAAAAAAAAAGTTACTTGTTGGAGTGGCTCTTGGTCTATAATAAAAACATTACAAATTTGTTTGCTGCATATGTGCATGATTTTATTTATAAATATATCGTGTAAATTGTGTGACACCTCCACGTACCGATCGAAACACTTGAAGCAATATGCACACACATACAGAGGGAGAAATAGAGCCTGTATTGCATAGAAAATCCATTTGGAAGAAACAAAAAGTTGGAACGAGTGTATGTGTGACAAAAGGTGCTAATGTACAATGATATGTGTATGCATTGGTTATCAATTCGATGCTGATACAAATTGTAGAGTAAAAGCATTTAAATAATTCTCGGTAATTATAAATGGGTCATGCATTACTTTCTTATCGATTGACGCAGACCAAATACTATGCATGGGCACAAACACACATGCCGAGTTTATATAAGAGAAAGAGAGACAACCAAAGAAGATAAAGTGAAATAACAGATTGAATGATTGACAACAATGAATTGTGAGATCGGGCATTCCCCACATATTTTCATTGCGTACTTACTGGCATGGACATTTTGAGCAAATCGCTTGGTGAGTGACAATCGTCATATGATCGGTTAGCTCTTTCTCATTGAGTTTGTGATGTAAGATGCCCATATGAATCATGATCAAAACACGAATTTACCGTAGACGTAGAAGACCAAATAAAAAAAGAACAAATCATCTAGATGCACATCATCTTATTGCATACACTCGTAATTTTACAACCCATCCATAAAATGAAGATGTCAATTCATTCACAAAATCCATTAGATTAAACACATTTAACAGTACACATTTTTATTTGTTTTTCGCTATCGTATTCTTTTTCTTGCTCTATCTTCATCTCATTCGATCATTCTTTCTAAACTGTCAAAATTACATTTCGGATAAAAAGGGCATTAGAATGTTATAAGAGAAAAAAACGAAATCGAAATAAAATTGATGAATGTCTTCCGAGAAAAACACAAAACTACAATGATGCTACTCATTTAGTGAAAACGCTTTAGTGTGACAGTATCGGCGTCGAAAGGAAAAAAAATGATTTTAAGATGAAACGAATCGATTTGTATAATAGATAGAGTTGCCACGAAACCGCGGTTATAAATATAGATTTTTAATGAAATAATTGTGGCTAATTAAAAAAAGGAAAGAGAAATGAAATGTTGCCTTAAGGTCAAAGCTGGTTTGCTTAGTCGTGTTGGTGATGTGGTGTCTTTAGAATGTCGTTTGTTTTGGATCAGAATCTCGTACACATTTTCTTTTTGCCGCCTGCATATTTCCACATACAAAAAAAAAACACATTTATTCATGTGAATATTTCGCATCGCAAACATCATATTTCTGTGGATGATGCGATTGATATTGGATAAAAAACTGGTCGCCTAACACGTATGTGCGTTCAAAACGAGAATTCCCAAACACAATTATGTGTGTTTCTCTGTTTTCATCTCTCAATTATCTATCTATATCTTGGTTTCAGAAATTGTAATTGAAGTGCTTAATTTTTACAATCCGATATCGATCGCGCTGTAATGTGTGCATGTTCATTGCATATTCAATTCATCCGTTTGTTTATCATCACGGATGCCATTCACAAGCGATAAGTAAGTCATTGTTGTTTGTCATCGTGTCACACACACACACACACACACACATACACTTGAGTACCGTGCATGAAACTAGCCGATAAATATAAAGTAATAGAAGCTGGTTTACTTTATCAAATGCCGAGATGCAGAAGATGAGAAGTGGATTCTATTGTCGTCAGAATTGTGTGTGCACATTGCATATACACAACGACGAGTTGAAATCGCCATGGGAATAACAGTTGTCTTCTATTTTATTTTCAACTAGTGCGAGCGCACTCGCCTAAGACTTACTCACCGCACTCGCTCAAATATATTCTCATTATATACTTACAATTTGCAAAAACTTGTTTTTGTTTTTATATATTTCCATATCGCAGCATATTCTGTATGAATTGAAAAAATAAAGGGAAAATCGTTAAATTGCAATGAGCACTTGACATGTATTCAAGTCAAATTACAAACAGATGCAGATGAAGTGGCTGCAGTAGAGAAAAACACTATTAAGAAATTATAGCACATTTTATAGATGTGCGAAGAAAACCAAAACACCGAGCTGTCTCTCTCCCTCTCTCTGTCATCATTTTTCAAAGCGGTTACCACTCACTTGGATTTGTCTTAATTCATATTTGTTGGATATATTAAATGAGAAAGTGCATTGCATCAATTCAATAACGGTGCGCACTGTATAATGTAATCACATATCAGACAACTCTTGTCTTTACCAGTGCCGCGCATACAGAATTTAATTCTATATTTGATACACATTTCGTGGAATTCATTAAATTCATTCTTTTTTTTC